TACTTCATCTTGATTTGATATTGCAAGTAAGTTTCAAAAAGATTTTAAGAAATCATCTTTGTACATGCTGCAAAGCGGAAAAAAAATACAGGGATTGCATTGTGACATAAATGCTTATTGACTAAAGTACACGAATGAATGATTTTATATTGTTGTAATATAAAATTAGTTATTTCTTATAAATCATCGGAAAAACATTTGAAAATCCATTTCGTTATTAAAAAGGGGGAAGAGTGAATTTACAAACATATTGAATGTTCTATTTTTTTCTCATCTTTAAAACTGTTCTAAAATTTCCGAGAGTCACACCAACAATATGAGGTCTAAAGTATCAAAAAATTAAAGGAATTTCTCGTCAAAATATAAGCGAAACCTTTCATTTTTTTTTGTTGTAATATGTGATAAAATATACTTTCCTTTATAAAAAATCCATCTTTATAAATACTGAAAATCTATCGTGGACTTTAACTGAAGACAACGAATAAAAAATTAACTTATTTTATTTTTAAAAAAAAAAGTTTTTATTCTTGAGCCTTTTATTGACTTTGGATAACTAAGTTCTCAAGAAAAAAGATAGTTCAGAAAATTAATTTTGAAGAACTAAATGAGATCATAAGTTCTATACGATACTGAACCAATTTGTGCGCGGTCAAACATTAGCCACGTGGGCACCCGGTGATATATAATTTTTAAACACATGGTTATTAAAAAGTATACCCTATTCATTTCATTATTAATCACAAATTTAGTCATTCCATTTTGTGTTATAATCTCTTGACGACATTGAATAAGCAATTCAACAGTGTGTGGCCAAATTCCATTTAAAGCCAGCGTAAGATATACTTTTTGTACATTAGGAAATTCTTTTGTTTCTTATTTTTTTTTGTAGGTTGTGATGGTTGTGATGACTATTTGATGGTGATGCCATTAATGTATGTTGCGTTTTTGTTGTTATCGCTGTTATCAGGAAATAGCTTGTACTGCTACTGCCGATGCTATTGAAGGAGGCATTCTTGACACAACATAGCTGAATTAAATGTTGAAAGTAAAGGATTCATTAA